TGCTGCAGGTGAGGCACACAGCAGCTTTACAGCTGTGTATAGTTGTAGTGCCTGGTTACAGAAAGGACAAAGAACCACAGTTTCCAGAATGACGAACATAACTGCTTCAATGGACTTCAGGCAGAGGAGGAGGTAGACTGCACTTCTGAAAAATCCAACCCTCACCCCCGAGGCAAATTAACAATAACAGTTCATGCTCTAATCAAATAATAATAGCTCAGTTAATGACTTGTGCTTTAACCAAAGTCTGGGACCTGAGAAGATGCCTCCTTATGCCCAGGACACAGAGTGAGGCTGTGGCTGGGGCTCCCTTTCCAGAGGCACTCCCAGCCCTAAAGTAGCATTAGAAAAAAGAGTGATCTGACTTCTTGGCAGCACAAACTGCCATGAGTACAGGAGCCACTTCCTTCCCTAGGACATGACGCCCTGGATGGCTCTGCTCATGCTGCCTGCCAGTGTCTGCTGTTGTCCCCACTCCTCCATAAGCTCCCCTCCTCCCTCTACTACTCATTCCTTTTCTCAACGCGGCTGGCATTTAAGAAACACTTATTCCAATCCATTTCTACCCTTGTACAGCAATTGGGTGTCATTTAGTTTGATTTAACCAATTTAGTCCTATGAATTAATTGGTTAATAAGCCATCTGTATGCATCAGGTGACAGAGTCGCGCTCTCACACACAGACATAGACAAGCTACCCACTTGTCCTTGTTTAATAACAGGCTGTAGGGAGTAGGAGCAGGAGAGGAGTGCGGGCTAATTTCACTCCCAACGGAGAAGTGCCAACAGAGGGTCGTGGTGATCATTGCCCTGACCTTGACCTCTGAGAGGAGGAACTGTCTGTTTAGGGTAATTCAAAAATAACCTACACTGTACTTACAGAGGAGTGCCAGCTACAGAACAGCCGCAAGGATCATGGGTGTGTTTCACCTCATAGGTTGTTTATTTTAAAAGAGACAGGAAAAGAGGTTTAGTTCATGCTTAGCAGACAGTAGAAAATTCTCAGCTGTATTCCCAAACAGCTGAACTTTGTATGTGAGTAGGAGGGGGAGAGGGGTGGGAAGTGGGGGAGTAGGAGAAGAGTGAGGTCTAAAGCATTTGATTTAGGTGTGATCTTTGATTATGAGAAAAATGTCTCATCTATTTTGGTTTCTTTTTAAATGCAAAAGAAAAAAAAAGCACCCCTTGCAGGCCCAATCATTTTAATGTTACATACAGCCCTCCAAGCTATTCAATAAACAACAATACAGCAAGCCAAAATCAAATCCAGCAAATATCCCAACCCACACAACAGAAAAGCATCAACTGTTCAGACAGAAAAACAACACTCCCTCCCCTGGCTGCCCATCCATCTCAGCCAGCCCTGGGTGCCCCAGCAAGCAGACAAGTTTCTCTGTAAACCCTGAAGGTTGACACAGGATTTTCAGACTGAGGGGGAACTAAATTATAGAACTATGAGACCCTTGGGGAAAAGCCCTGCCAGCAGCTCCCTCTCTTTTATGCCCTGAGATCTACCCTCCCTCTCAGCCACTGCAACTGCAACAGCTTTATGTGGGGAAGGGGCCACTTGCTGGTGCAGGAAGCTCCCAAATGATTTGATACAGTAAATGTCAGAACCTACAAAATCCAAGCCAAATGGGAGCACTTTGGTGTGACATGCTGGGCAACATGCTCTCATTAGAGGATTATAACACAAGCTTCTGCACTGGGTGATTTGTAGTGGAAGGTGCAGCCCACTGTAGGCTGCATGGTCCACTATCACAGAACAAACAGTGGGCACCAGGGAGAGGCCATGACTGAGGCTGCTGCAGGAAGAGAAGATGGGGCTTAGCCTATGTTGGGTAGTGCAGAGCAGCAGTGCATCCACAAGGATTTCTCCAGGGCTCTCCCACCTGCCGGCATTTTTCAGTATCCGGGAGAGAAATAACCGAGCTGCATACTCTGCAAGAGAGACACAAAGTGAGCAGTAGGGACTTAGCTCTGAGGAGAAAGTACTTTCCCCTTCTATCCCTAAGGAAAATGAAATTACAGTGGAGTTGGCTTTAAATGTATCCCATTAGCACAACAGGCACCACAGGAAGAGTAACATCCTCTGTGTGCTTAAGTGAAACACTGACAGGCTAAGCGAAGTAGGCTGAAAAAATTCCTTCCGAGAGGAAAGGGGGAAACCTGTTCACCCAATACACTCAGCAGGAGACTGCAGGAGGGGGCAGGAAAACCTGCCAGAGTTCCCAGTGCAAGGATACCCTGCCAGCCCGCACACAGCAGGCAGGACAGAGCCTTTACACTGCATGTGTGAGGAGCCCCAGAGTGCCTCGTTGGGGGTTAACCCCTGAAAATACATGCATTTGCTCTCACTAGCATGTGAGTGCCTGTTCCCAGACATTGTAAAACTATCAAAACATGGAGGTAAGTTGCCCTGCTTAACAACTGGATGCCCTGGCTAAGCCACCTCTGCTCCATCTGCAGCAGGAATGCCTGTGATATCAATGAATGAACATACCAACCCATCCATAACAAACAATTTCACTTGATCAGTGACCACAAAAACCAGAATGTCCCTGCCTGAAAGGAACAAGTGGTGACACGGCTTGTTTAATGGCTATGTGAAGCATGTGAATCCAACTTCCATGCTTTCCTGCTTAGGCAGCTCATATGCAAAAGGCATTCACATCACACTGCACAAGAAGTCTTATTTTTGTCAATTGCTAAGGACTCCAAGTGCAAAATGTGTAAAACTACTTAGGAGATTTAAGGGTCAGAAAGATTTTATTTTTTTTTTTCTTTCCTAGAAATGCCTCACCAGGCTGAGTTCCTTAACATCCACTCATTTAAAAAACAGAGACACATAGGCTGCTTGGGAGGACTTGGAAATCTCACCACTTGCCTCATGGCAGCTCCCAGTACCGAAACACCTTTGAATTTGTGTGGCATTCTGTTACCCAAATACATTAGTCACAGAGCCAGCACATCTCTCCCTGCAAGCCTTGCCCATCCAGATGGAGCTGTGCAAACGCTGGTAGCAAGCAGAGCAAAGGACAATGGGGAAGCCAGAGAGATCACCACTGCTGGAGACATGGGTGAAACAGGACAGGGCTCTTAATCCCTAAGATACTGCCTAGGGAGAATGGCACACATTATGGACTGCTCTGTGTGCAAGCACCACAAAGTTGGACCAGCTAGTGAATACCTCAAGTGACTGAGGAGCCTAGAGAGCGTGGCTCTTTTTGGGAAAAAGAAAACTGGAGTAGCTGTCTGCTGGAGGGAACAAAGAGATCGGTTGTCCAGCAGGACAGCTCCTGGAGAGACCAGCCAAACTGAGATCCCTTGGTCCTGCCTCTTGCTGTCTCCATCCACATCCTTTACAGCCTGAGAACTGTCTCTCTTAGTTTCCTTCTCTCTTGTCCTCTTTTTTTAATTCTCCTGACAAAACCTTAAACGGTCTAAAAGCATCCCCAACAAGGATGAGCAAACGCAAATGTCTTAGCAAATGTGTATTTGAGCTCCACACGCTCCCAGGGATGGCGCAGTAATAAAAACCAATTAGATAACTCTCAGCAGCTACAGTGAGAGGGAGTGGTACAATCTTACCACGACTAATACGGTTTTTAATAATAGATGGCTCTTGCTAGTGCTGGAGAGGGGAAGCCAAAGTGGTGTCAGTTACATTGCATCTTTCTGTCCAGTGAATTTCTGTGTGTGGAGAATTAATAATTTGTGAAAGGGGGGATTAACTTGCCCTCCATACTTACTACTTGTACCAGGGAGATCCCTGCAGGATCAGGAGTGGGCTCCCTATGATGGCACATGGCAGAGGAATGCCATAGAGAAGCATGCTGAGCTCACTCCTGCACCTCCTCACAAAAGGACACCCAGTCCTGTGGGTATCAATATTTGAACAGCTCAGTAATGAAGAAACTGGAAAAGCACATGGTTTTGCTCTCTTGGTATCTCTCACATCCCAGAAGAAGTCCAAAAGCCAAGCTGCAACTGACCACTGAAGCAAGGCTGAAGAAAGCCCCCGCACACCAGAAGAAGCCATGTGTGCCTGAAGCAGGTCAGTATCATGGGTGGGGTGTCACAAAGCCCCCTGCTTGCATCTCTCCCCACTGCCTTCTATTTACAAACCTTCACTTCATGGCTCCTTGCTCAAAACACAAACAAAAGCCATGGAGGGCATTTTCTTGTTGCCATGGAAACAGCTGTAATCTCAAATATACTTAATGCATCACTCTTGCTCCTCCAGCACCTTGCAACAGCTTGCTGTTCGATAGAAAAGTTACGAAGAGGGCAGGTGAAAGAGCCCTGACAGCTTCCCATCCTGCACTCAAGACCCAGCACCTCTGTGGCTGCCCATAATCTCCTATCCGTCAGCACAAAGACTCTTTCTTTCTTTTCTCCTCTCCTTCTGTCTTGTTTTCTGTTCTTTGGAGTGTCACATCATTTACATTTATGAAAGGAATTTTCCTGGGGGTGCAGAGATAGTTCAAATTGTCTGTGATCAGATCAACCTTGTGCATAATGCATTTGTATGAAAATAAACTCCCTGGGGCCCACACTCATGGCTGAAAGTCTCTGTAATGAAGTATTTTACTCTAATTTAGTTAAAGATGATGGAGATAGGAATGAGTGCATGCCTGCATGCATATAGAGGAGGGGAAGACAGACAGGATACTATACACACACAAAAGCCAATAATTATAAGATTACATGCTGGCTGGGAACACTACTGAAGTACCTCATTATTACAAGAAGTTAACTTCTCCATTGTTTCCTCTGAAAATCAGTCCTGCCCTTTGTGGCTTCTTGCACACAAGATCTGGACAATCTTCATGCTGATCCTCAGGAGTAGTCAGAAAACTAGTCTTCTATCCTGCATTACTCGTTAAGAAAGCATTCCTATTCCACACCCAGACTGAGCCAAGATCACATTGGGATAACGGCCTTCCCTGTTCCCGATTCTGCTCCAAACACAAAAGCAAGACATCACCCTCACCAAACACAAAAGCAAGACATCACCCTCAATTAGAGCTGCTCCTCTGGAACATTACCCTTCTGTTTTCCAGTTACTGCTCTCTTTGATTCAGAAGGATGACTTCGCCATAGGGCTCCTTCTCCATGCCACCAGTGCCAGCTGAGTAACTTGGCTTACAGGTTCCAGGCTCCTCCTGTGTGACCTCTTTGGCGTGGCTAGGCCAAAGAAACCTGGAAATGTGAAATTCTTCCTGGCAAAACTTTGTTGAAATAGGGACAACTCCACACAAGGTTTAACCAGTATTTTCTGAGAATAACAACTTCGCCTGCAAACAAAAATATCAGATATCAAAAGATCTGACTCTTAACAAATGTTAAATGATTTCAATGAACTTTGGGTCAACTCAAGCACAACTGCAGATAGTTAAGTTCTAGTACACTCTGCCACTGACTTGCTATAATGCGTTGCATAAACTTCTGTTCTCAGTCTTGTTTCCCCACTTGTTCCATGGAGGACAAACTTGCCTCCCTGATGAACAGAAAACCATGAGATTTCATATGCCAGTCCTCCAGGCTTCCAGTCATAGACCTTTTTTTTCAAAGGCTATGTCACATGGTAATAAAAGAAGAAAAAATGCATTCTAGGATCTTTGATGCATTAGAAACACATATTTTACCTGAGTCTGTTTTTAATTTTCCATTTTTACACCCTGAGAAGAAAAAAAACCAACGATCAGCTCTTGTGCCTAGATAGGCCTGAAAAAACTTCATACATCCCAGTAAAGACTTGATCTTCTACACAGTAAGAGGTGTGATCAGCTTTTCTGAAAATACACAAAATACACCTTGAAAATGAAGGCAGAGGACTAAATCCATTCCTGGCAAGAAGAAGGTGCAACTCCCTTTGAAGCAAGAGAAATCAGTGCTGCTGAATTTGTCTCAGGGAGATAAACACTAACAACCAGTCCTTCCCAGAGGACAATCTGATAACACCGAAGTTGACACCCACAAACGTCAGGCAGGATATATTTCCTCCTGTGCGCTGGTATCTAAGCTTATCACCCTATTTGCTTCTTCTCTCCCAAGTCATTTTGCAGGGTCAAAGGCTATCGTGGGGCTTTAATTAGAATGCCATCATAATGAGCTGGCACTTAAATCAGCCTGCCAGTGGCTAAAGAAAATTAACCTTAGAGTCAAATGAGCTCTAGTCTGGGAGTTCATGTCACGAGGGGGCAACAGACTCTTGCAGAGCTGATGTGTATGGTGGAGGGACAGAAAGCTAAACCCTGCATTCTTTTAAACCGAGAGATCTACACTGGGCAAATCACTTATCCTCGCTGTCTCTGATGCACAATAAAAGCTTTGTACCATATGCTTGCTGTGCCAAGCCAAGGAGAAATCAACAGGGAGAAGTTACCTGGGATGAAACTTCTCTTGGGCTCCTTGAGAAAGGATGTGACTTGAGCTCATATACACCTATGGACGTATCACGTGCAACAAACCCTATCAGTTGCTATGAAAGACTTTGTCACTATGACTATGATGATTACATCATTATTATGCAAGAGCCTAGATTCCAAATAAGGGCAGGTGCTTCATCCAGCTCAGACCCCACAGATCTTAGGGAGCAAATACGAGAATATCCCTTGCTGGCTGATAAACAGAAGGAGCATTCACAAGGGTGAATACACACATGGGAATAACCTCACCCCTAACCTTGCACTTTCTCTTTGCTACTGGTGCCCTTGCAACTGTACTGCCCCTTCCCACATGCATTTTACACCTATTTCTCCCTGCACCATCTTTTGGCACGAGCCACAAAAATATTGTATTGTCAGTGAGTTTTGAGTAAGTAGTTCTGAACAGCCAATGGCATTTTTTCCCAGTGAACCCAGATGTTCCCTGTAGTACCATTTTTCTTTATATCCTGAAGGCACCCACTAGCCTAGAGAACAAATCCATTGTGTGTTACTCACAGGTACCGGAGAATTCATAAAGACTTACTGCTTTCCTTAGAGCTGAACTGCCAGTGCTATAATTTTCCACAACATCTCTTTTATGTCACTGTGCTTGACAAATACCTTGTGCATCTTCACAGGTATTTAGGAAATCCTGCCAGTGCAGGCATAGAGAACACACAAATGGACCTAACATCTCCATCTATGCAAGACAGAACTGTGCAGCAAGAACAAGAGATTTTGCTAACCAAATCTGGCCACGAAGATGCCCTCATATAGCAGACTCAGCCCCATCTTCCTTGACACAAGAGGACACATTTTCCTTTTCATTAAGATCAATACACCTCAGAGGCTATTTTAAACAACCCTTGAGCCTTTCTCATCATGTTTCTACTACAACCATAACTGATCTTTCTCTGAAGGGGAAGTATCCAATTGAGAACCTCGGGAGAAGACTCTACTTATTACATCACAAAGTTTAAAACTGGATCAACTCTGCTAGAGTCAATGCAACAATAGTAAATTTACAAAAAGGATACTAAACAGTAGAATTTACTGCAGGACCATCTCTTTAAAGGAAACCTGAAGCCACCTTCTTTTACAAAAGTATCCTACGAAACACTTGCTTCCTGTGTCACCAATGACCCTTTCAACTAACTGCTCCTAAAAGACTGTGCAACACCTCCATTAATTCTTCTCCAGTTATAGTCTGTGTTTACTTTTGGAGGTTTGACTGCACTACAGAGGTCAACTTGCTTCCTTCTTAAGAACAACAAAGCTCCAATGGGCTCAGTGTTATAGTTTCCAAATGAATGGGCTAGGAATTTAGACAGTCCAACTCATCTTCCACCTCCTGTAAGGTTCACTCACAGATTTTCACAGTGTAGAGGCTGTCATCTAGGAGGACTACAAACATCAGAATAGAATAGTTACAGGCATTTTTAAACTTAGCATTATTTGCACCAGGGCATTTAAAAGGAGTGTAATTTTTAGTTTATGTTAAACTTTAAGTACAATTCATTACATGACTAAGACATAAGTCACGCATTTTGTGATACCTGCTTAAAGGTTCAGCTCCCATGAGGCTTCAAGAGAATGTCAGCTTTCTTTTAAAGAAAAGAATGTTATTAACCCCTGGGAAGGTTTTATTGAAAAGCATGAAATTGTAATCTTTCACTTGACCCAAATGTCTTGAACATAGAGGCAGGTATAAACAAGGGCAGGTATCTGGAAACTGTTCCTGTGGCATGTGCACTGGAGAGGACAGTGCTGGTCATTTCTGAGGTACATGGCAATTTGTAAATCAATCTCATGTCTTGGGGCAGCCAGACAACTGATACTGAGAAGGGACATCTCTGAATATCAGCTTTGAAAGAGAAGTCATCTTGAGACTTTTTCTTCCCTTGTAGGTTTCTTCTCCTCTCACCAAATGTTGTAATATATGGATTCAACAGATGGTGTGATCTCTTCCTCCCTCTCTCCCCTCAGGTCAAAAAGTAAAATAGTAAATACCACTGTAAGCACTTAATGCAGAAATAAACCATTGCAGTACAAGAAGAAGAAGATTCAGACACTTCAAAATAAACAAGACATAAGAAAAGTCAAGTCCTCATCCAAGTCATACAGTTCCACAGAGAAAAATGGCATCTCTTTGTCTTTCTTCTGACAAGCAACAGTTTCCCCCTTACTCACAAATAAATCTCAGGCTACTGGAACATCACTGACATTTTCTTTAAAGAGTTTTTAATTAAAGTAACATTAAGTATGCCATGTTTAGTATTTGTCAGGCATTAGGAAAGGCTACTAAAATTACCACTGAGGGGCCTATTAAATATCATCATATGCTCCCAGAGTAATTAATTACAGACATTTTGAAAGGGTCTGTCTTCCTCATCCTGCAAAATTTTTTAACTTTTTTTCCCTCTTTATTTACTAGCATCAAACAACCAAATGTTAATGACATGCTATCTGGCACCTGTCCTGCAGAATGGGCAGGCATTTCCCCACTGCCCCCAGCGGCACCAAAGAGTTTGCTGGCATCTCGGAGCCTAGGAGAAAACCTGACAAGGTTTTTGTTACTTTTTGTTTGTTTGTTTTCCCCTCTGCTTTCTATACCTGATGTTTGCATCACTTGGATGCATGGGCAAAGACCACAGAAGACACTGGAGCTTGGAAATAAAACAGGTACTCTCAGCAATCCAAATCCAAAAGTCTGAGGAACTTAGAAAACTGGAGGCCCTTTGAGAAAACCCCAGCCTTCCTGATCTGCATTTGCACAGCACTTCATGTAGAAGAATGACACTGGGTGGCTTCTACAACTATTTCTACAGTGACTGTGGTAACTAATACAGAAAAGGACTTGGAGCTGGAATTTTCTTTCTGTGTGGGACAGTATCAGAACAGAATCAACAATGGTGATTTATTTTGTAGAACAAGACCTCTGTGCTATTCATATTTTATTCAGAGCAAAAGCAAGCCACCTGCTCCTAGATCCATGCGTAATGCCACACCACACCAACACATCCAGGTGCAGAAGGTATGCCCAGAGGCATAGTTCTAGGCTTGCTAACTGTGAGGTCAGAGAAACTGTCCTTGAAGCCATCCAGAGAGCACTCAAAATTCAACAGAAAGGTACCCAGACACAAGTGGTTGCTCCCCCTGTCTTTCCATCTCCCAGAGCAAGTACCAGTGTGTTGCTCAGCAGTGCAGCCCAGGTGGAGGGCTGACCATGAGGAGCACAGACTATCTGCTGATTCAGTCCAAATAGGGCCTTCCAGCAGGAATTTGGAGCAATCACAGTGAATGATGTTGCTGCTCGCCTTATGCACGAGGTAGAGCAGTTTCCCCGCTGACCTTTTCATCGTTTATGAGGAGGGCAAGCACTTCAGCACCTACACCATCTGCAAATTTGGTCTTCCCCTCAAGGATACAAAAAATTAGGTCAGAGGCTTTTGTCTTTTCCTGCCATTCCTGAAAAGCACATTAGGGCTCAAATCCTCAAGACAAAGCATTATTATTATTATTGTTGTTAGCTTTTTATAGTGGAAGAAAATATTAATGTTACAAATAGCTGCCATTAGCATAAGCAAAGCTGCATATTAATATGCACATGTGTGTCTCTACTGTCAGGAAGCAGAGAGGCCCCAGAGGCCCTGCTTTCACTGGGGAAAATGATGATGGCATTAACTCTAATGATAACGATAAGGAGGCTGCCATAAATGATATGACAATTTCTTTTGTATTCCTGTTTGGGCAAAGACTTCTTCCTTACTCCCCGGTGTCCATAAAAGGATGCTGTTTGAACAAATGGCAACTCTACTGATTTATTTAATTTCACCACAGCTTTATGGTTTTCTTAAAAGTGCCAGCTCTTTGGGTCATGTGACTGAGAAACTCGCTTAAGCCTTTCAGATAAATTCCTAATCGCCAAGATTTTGGAGAACCGGATACTAAATAAAAGGAATCCCACATCTATTTATGGTTTTTAAAACCTTGTGAAGTTTGAGCCTTTTTGGACTAAGGATACTATTATATCAAAGGACAGCAGGAGCTATGAAGGAAAAAATAAAGGATATGAAAAAAATAACCAGGAAATAAATTGTCTCTGACGTAAGATGTTCCCAATCCTATCACAGCCTTTCTCCCCCTTCACTTATTATTGTCCTTATGAGTATTACATCTAGGCTGTGACAGCAGATCTTTGTGACTATGCTATCAATCAGATAAGAGAACTGATCTGGCTGAAGAGTAACAAAGCAAAAGAGAGGATGGAGGAGGATTTCCTACAGAGAGGTTTTGGATGTGCTCAGCAGTACAGATCTGCAGACAGGCATGCTTGTACTGCTGGGAGGGCAGCAAAAATGGGGTCTAAGCTGCTCTTGTTACTGACAAAATGCACAGTGGACTGAGGAAACAGATGCAGAGGGAAGATCTGGGTTCCTAGGCCCATGTGTTAAGAGTCTGTCAAACCCCGTTGTGGCTTTTACAGCTGCGGAACAAACATGAGTTTCCTTTTTTTCCTTTAGGCCAGAGGGAAAGCAGAAATTTCTATCCCCAGCTGTGATGTTGAGGCATTGGTTATGCAATAGGACTTGGCTGCAACAAATGCAAAAGCATTTCTTCACTGAACTCTTCATCTGAACACGGACAGAAGATGATTCTCTCTGGCTCTGTAGCTTCTGAACTAATTACACAGCTTTTTGACGATGTCACTGCACAGGGTGTCTCTGCCCTGGAATCATCTGTCATGGCTACAATGTGCAACAGGGATCTGAATACATTAATATGTCAGGGAGGTGGGGATGCTACGTTTTGGTCTGTCAGCTTCTGCGCTGAAAACCCTATTGAGCTCAGCTAATATACTACACTATCTGCTTTTCATTTTTCACATTTGTTCATGTGATGTACATCCTGAAGCTCATCAGAGGGAAATGTAAGCTTTATACCAGCAATAACAATCTTTGCAGCAAACTCAATCCGAAAGGGACTAGCCAAAACCACAAAGAGCCCTACAGAAGA